AACGTTACTCGTAGCACCCCGAAACACGTCAGGAGTCAGTCAAAAAGTATGGTATATATTGATAGGATCGGGGGAATGCGTACTTTTCTGCAAAATCCACACGCAGCTTGATCTATCTACAGTTATTACAACATTTTATTTCACTTAAACTTTTCCGCACATGAAGCGCATGCAAACGTAAAGATAAATAAGTGTGTACCTTTGATAAGCGGTAAATGGTCTGAAAATGAGTTCGTGAAGATTTTATGCACCAGAACCGGTTCAGAACCCACTTGTGGTTGTTCTTTCGTTTGACGGATCAAAATTCAAAAACGCTGAAGACTGGTAGCGAGTCTTTAAAATGATTTGGTTGAATAAAAACAGTAGTTCGAAGATAGACTACTTTCTTGTATTTGGCAGCCGGCCAGACAGCTGCTTGAATGCATTTACAACTCGAATTGGTGTTTTCATATGTAGTGTTTCTTAAGGAATATACACAGATTATCTACAAATTTTGATCAAGTTTAAGCCGTTTGTCCTGTTATTTCACATAGTGGCGAACGGTAGATAACGCTACAAGTAGTGTATTTTAACAAGGAAAGGATGGTAGGTCGAAGTGGCCGTATAATGAGATGTATACCACCTGATGCGTCTCTAGACGCTGATTCCAAATCTGCCTTCCAAATCTGCTAAACGACTCTCCGAACGGAGTTATGAAGCGCAATATCACTACTTAGGACCTTGCTGGGTAATATTGAAGGAATCTTTCGCAAAAATTCTTGCATTCTTTCTCCAACATGAATATGTCAGTTGTGATCACTAGGAAACACAAAGTTTCACGCATGAAGATTCGGTTTCCGAAGAGAAACAAACTTACAAAAACCACACTCTATGGACAATCGAAGGTAAGTGGCGTTTAGCCAAAGGCAGCCCGTCGGAATCGGGTTGAAGCGCGCGATTTTGGAGAGTAGAGACAAATCGATCGATAGAATAGGATGCAGTAGAAGTGTGAGATGTGAATGCAATAAGTCAAAAGGCCAGAAAGAGTTTCTAGTGAAGGCACTCCAAGAACCAAGTGGAAGCATTCCCAGCATTTGTGACAGATGTCCGGCGGTACTTTGAACGCGTAGCAGCCCTTTCGGTTTTCGAATTTTTTACCAAACAAATGCAATTTTTGTTCTTTTGTTCTTATCGTGAACGATGGGTCCCAAGCCAGTGAATTATGGGTAACATAGAATCACGATTTTTCCAAGGAGGATTCCTCCAAATGCACTGTGTTCGCATGTAGACAGACTTTTTAAGTGAAAGGAAATATTGTCAAATAAACTGATTCAATAGATGGAAAGTTGAAGAAGAGTTTAAATGGATGGTGGGTAACGTTACTCGTAGCACCGAAACACGTCAGGAGTCAGTCAAAAAGTATGGTATATATTGATAGGATCGGGGGAATGCGTACTTTTCTGCAAAATCCACACGCAGCTTGATCTATCTACAGTTATTACAACATTTTATTTCACTTAAACTTTTCCGCACATGAAGCGCATGCAAACGTAAAGATAAATAAGTGTGTACCTTTGATAAGCGGTAAATGGTCTGAAAATGAGTTCGTGAAGATTTTATGCACCAGAACCGGTTCAGAACCCACTTGTGGTTGTTCTTTCGTTTGACGGATCAAAATTCAAAAACGCTGAAGACTGGTAGCGAGTCTTTAAAATGATTTGGTTGAATAAAAACAGTAGTTCGAAGATAGACTACTTTCTTGTATTTGGCAGCCGGCCAGACAGCTGCTTGAATGCATTTACAACTCGAATTGGTGTTTTCATATGTAGTGTTTCTTAAGGAATATACACAGATTATCTACAAATTTTGATCAAGTTTAAGCCGTTTGTCCTGTTATTTCACATAGTGGCGAACGGTAGATAACGCTACAAGTAGTGTATTCTTAACAAGGAAAGGATGGTAGGTCGAAGTGGCCGTATAAATGAAATGTATACCTCCTGATGCGTCTCCAGACGCTGATTCCAAATCTGCCTTCCAAATCTGCTAAACGACTCTCCGAACGAGTTATGAAGCGTAATAGCTCAGTGGTGATGGTCCGGGGTGGCAGGTAAAAGCTCGTAGGATCGGTTCCTTTGCAAGTTGGTTGCTTTGCTTTTGTCTCTAGAAGTGTTGCGGACAAAAGCAAAGCAACAAACTTGCAAAGGAACCGATCCTACGAGCTTTTACCTTCCACCCCGGACCATCACCACTGAGCTATTACGCTTCATAACTATGTTCGGAGAGTCGTTTAGCAGTTTTGGAAGGCAGATTTGGAATTAGCGTCTAGAGACCCATCAGGTGGTTTACATCTCATTATACGGCCACTTCGACCTACCATCCATCCCTTGTAAGTACTGTATTCTAGGGGAGTCCTTAAGTTTGTTCCAGCTGGGATAAATAACGGTCGAAGAAATCCTCGACCACGGTTCTGCACTGTGTGAGAATAGCGTTGAG